AAAAATAAATAATTCGATATCATATATGAAAAACAAAATACAAACCAAAAAAGTTAGAAAATTTTTAAAATAAGAAGAATAAACATTTATAATAATTGATGAATGAATTAAATTAGAAAATAAAATTTGATATATGGTAATGTAGGAAATAAAACTTAAAATAGTTAATGGTAGCTAATTGTAGAAGAAAAGAAGAAAGAGATCAGTTAGGATTTAATGGAACAATATAGACATTAAATATAAAAAACTACTAATTTATATCCAAGCCTGACTCTGAACCATGGTTTTTTTCTACATAGGACCCGAAGCGTGAGAGCATGACACTTAAGCTCAACGCATACAAGAATTATATATACGGTGGATATGTACACAAATGAGGAATGATAGGAAAACATCTTAATGATGAAGATGCACACATCAACACTCGGTTGTAATTCTGTTTTAAGCATATCCTAGATCAATACAACTTCCTTCTCTGACTGAACATATAATTATCACGTGACTTCTGTTGCATTTTCTTAAGTCTCTGCAGGGCATTCAGTTGAAATCCTTTTATTCCTGACTTGGTGATATGACATTAGGAAGCATTAGCTACCCCCTTTGGTGAAAGCATTCTGTTATTAACTTGGTTAGATAGGTTAAATGAATGTTATATGCTTATGAATTTCTGGGGTAGTTGGATAAAATGTGGTTGAAAATTATAATTGATTTGTAATGTAATGGGCAAATGAAACTTGAAAAGTTGAAATAGCAAATGTAAATAAATTGGAGGGAAAAGTATTGAAATTTGCTAGCTTAAAAGGTTTGTCCTTGCTCTTGTTACATTGAACGTTGGTTCATATCTATGACCCGGTATTAATTCATGTACATATGTGGTGATATCTGCAAAGTTCAATTTTTCACGCCGTATTTCAATAATTACTATATGATAGTGGTTGATTTTTAAAATTTAGGAGTGAAGATCTTTATAAAAATAGAAGTTATTGTTTTATAATTTTAAACATTTTTTTAGGGAAAATGAAAGTTTGTAACCTTGCAATACACGTTTTTGGTTTTTGCATTATAAATATTTGTTTTGATCATGAAATCATTTGGAAAACCACAAATGTGTATGGTGAAGATGTACCCGAAGTTGTGAATTGTAAATTCTCACGAACTTTAGGTTGCAATTTAACTATATATACGTTAGGTTGCAATTTACCTAAATATACTTTATGTTGCAAAAGCAAAAAATGTGCATAGTACATGTTGCAGATTTCTTTTCTCTCTCTCTCTCTCTCTCTCTCTCTAAACTGCAGTAAAACTGCAGTAGTACAATTCTCGTGGATTACACGGGTTCTAATTAAAAATATTATACTTAAATTATGAAAATGAGAAAGAGTAGTATTTTTATTTAAATATTATATTCTTTTAACCTATGGTGCCTTATTTTATTATATTATAATAGCTTTCTAGTTTATGTCTGATGACCTTATATGACCATATAGATAATTTTCAATTAGTATTAAATTTTAATTTTTATAGTAAATATAAATAAAATTATTTATTTCTTTAATATATGCAACATGAATGTCAAATTGAAACTTGTCAAAATAGGATTAATTTGATATATTATATATGAAAATTGTTAATAAATACAAAAGTTATTAACGTGTATATATATATATTTATAATTCAAGTTATTTAAGTGTCAGATCTACATGTACTACTCTGCAGAAATTAACACATAAGATTACAACACACTAGAATTCGACACATAGAATTACAAAGCGCCAGAAATTGATAGATGGACTCAGGGGATTCTACATTTATATATAGGGAAATTATTATTATTATTTAAAATGATACGTATATATTACATATTTAACATTTTTTAGTTGATAGTTAATAATTTGATTGTTTTTGAACTAAGATTGATAGATAAATTTAATTTTATGCATAAGGTAGATAATTATTATATACAATATGAATGTGAAGTTATCGATCGTCAAAGTATCATTTATCATATAAGAAAAACTAAATTCCATAATAAAGTTATTTACAATTTAAGTTAGATCAAATGTTTTATGATTTCAAAATTCCTAATTTATACATATAAAACTCTAAATCTTCATGGATTATTTCGAACCATTAGAAAGTGATGCATAGGATCCACAAGCTCTAGAGGACAGGATGATGTAGTATTACAAACTCAAAAGGTAACATTTAAACTCATCAAACTCTGTATTTTTAAATATGATAGGATAGGAGCATTCTAGATTTATTTATGTGCTAAGAAATCGCGTAGTACTTGTACATTTTTCTCCTCAGAGAAAAACAAAGTTTGCTACGTGTACTGTACAAGTTTTTAGCATTTGCAACATATAGTAAGTAAAATACAACATGAACTTAATGAGCATTCATATTTGCAACATCTCGTGCATCTTGACCGCAAACGTGTGTGGTTTTGTGGATGATTGCATGGTCAAAATGTAATACAAATTGCAAATTATGAATGTTCGTCAACTTTTGGGTATATTTACCAATGTAAAAAGATTAGGTTGCATATACCAATAAAAATACTTTAGGCTGCATAGGCAAAAATCCTGCAACATTCATGATTTGCGACATCTCGTGTATCTCGACCACATACGTGTGTTGTTTTGTGGATAATTGCATGGTCAAGATGCATTAGAGGTTCAAATTATGAATGTCCATAATGTTTAAGTTGCATTTTTAAATAACATTTAGGTTACAAAGGCAAAAAACACATGATTTTGTATATTTATTTTTCTCGTATCCTAGTTCTAGAGCAATTTACCAAATTTTGAGAATGAGCATCAATTTTAACATATATAAATAGGAGAATAGAGAACAAATATAGATTTTAATTGAATTAACTGATCAGAGAACTTACCCACAATCACGAAAAGAACCCCTGTAATCACTGCACAGTGCACATAAATCAAATATTGATGATTAGTGGAAAAGTACTGAAAAGTATTATTGTCGTAAAAGATAATATGAAAAGATAGTCAAATATATTCCTCATATCAATTCAAAATGATAAGGTATGAAAAATATGAAAACAACTACCTCCATACCAAAATGAATGCTTCATTTTCATAATGACTATCAAAGAAATCTTCCGTTCCAATTTATATTCTAATGCTTTCTTTAATGCCCCATATAAAAAAAAGTAACTCTTATCATAATGTTTATAACTTATCACATGTATGTGGTGTTTTCATAGTTCGCTAGAGCAATTTGATAAATGGGTTGGGTAGAAAACACTTATAAACAACAACAGCCTTATAGCTCAAAGGCAGAGGGTGCACAGCCCAAACTTATACACAATAACACCTCAATAACTAATTGATGTGGACAAACATAATTTCCAACACCTTCCCTCGTGCATTGCGTGCCAACCCAAATGTCTGGTCGAACCCCACATCACCTCCAAATAAACAGATCCTAGGTGTTCTGACACTAAGATAATTGGGTCTTAGTAGAACTCATCCCAAAAAGCTAGCTCAAAAGGGAGGGGGTGCCCAACCCACACTTATGCACAATAACAGCTCAATAACTGATTAATGTAGGACGTGAATAACTTCCAAAGCATTACGTAGAACATAGAATATTCAGTATTTCGTGTCAGTCATGACTTGTTGCCAGTTTGATTGTCTAATAAATTTTCCAGAGTAATATTAAGTCTAAACAGAGTTAAGAGATGGGATGAAGAAGATAGGAAATTAGATATATCTATATATTTTAAGTAGCTGGTCAAAAGAATAAGTCACTGTACAGTTTACTCCAACTAAAAGGAAAATTTTCAGTGCCTACAAGGCCACAGAGCTGAAGAATTCTTACAGTAAAAGGCATCAGTTAGCCGTGTTGGCATACCACCTGCATTATCCAGAAAATAAATAAGACTATTATTAGAATTCAAAAGTTTCAATAAAACCCAAAATCAAGTTCGAAGTTGCATTCTGCATCTTAGCTTCTGTAAATATTTGGTTGAAGTTGAACTTGAAAACTTATCATGATTAATAAATTTTCGTGTCTCATCATCATGTGAAAAACTTAGTTTCAAATTCTTTATCCAAATGCAAGTATTACCACACGGAATCTCCCAATGTGAACCAACAAAACACATCTCCTTTCTGCACGTGGCTTGTTTGCCGTCAACAAAACAATCTGCGCACTTGCCACCACAAGGCGAATTGAACCATGAAAGTTCCAACCCATACAATAGAGAACTGTGGATTTCTGAAAGCGGAACACTCTTTTCACCCTGGGCCAGTACTGGCAATTTTGAAGTCATCCCCGTTAGATCTATTGTACAATTATCCGTGATCCACGATCCATTAAAATGGCCAGACCTCATGTACATGTGATGCTTTGTATCAGACTCGTTGCGACCATAATAATCCGTGTGGCCACAATTGGAAGCAACTTCCAGAAGAAGTGAGTTATTCACTTGATATGGGCAGGTCATGGCAATCAAATTTTTTATGACGGACTCGTTGAAACCATATGGATACTGCCTGTGAAAATACCTAACTCGAGAAACTGAAAATTTACCACGGCGTGTAATTGAATATCTACCGCTGGTAATATTTATAAGGTCGTATGGAGACAGATGGTGCGTTGGGAAAGAGCAGCTGTCATTCTCTAATATAGAGGCATGAGATAAGCGGATTGTGCGGTTTGGATAATTGATTGACCGGACAATGTATTTGTCTGAGTCAAAATGTACATAGGTGGTATTATCTTCGCAGGCTAGTTCATAATCTGGGTTACCACAGTGTTTAGGGTCCTTTTTCAGCCTGAAAGGGTGGCTAATATTAGGAATATTGCCGCAGGAAGAAGGTGGGCAGTGGGGAGAAGTCTTCTTCCCGATGCATGTCTCGAGCAATTGGATCATGATCAAGCATGAAGAAAGGGATTTGAGGAGGGGATTGATCTTGTGGCTGAACATGATCTTTTTGGTGATCCAAAGCTTTGAGGATGATATCTTGATATGGGAGAAGGGGAAGGCTGGAAATATATAGTCAAAATTTGGGGACCAAAAACAACTACGATTTTCGAAGCAAGCTCTGAATTATAAGGTCTGATATAAGTGTGATTTTAAAGTTGACTAGTGAAAATGATGGTGTTCGGTGATAAAATCTCCAAACAACCATATTTCAATTCTATGATCTATATATATTGAAAGAGGTTGTTGAAAGAATTTAAAAATAGTAATTTTGACTTTGTAATTAAATTAGTTGACTTACTATTAAAGGAAATATAGTAAAAATTATTTCAATATATTCTAAAAAAAGTGGTATCGAAGCTAATTATCACAATAAAATCCGATGCTATATATTAATTACAAATCAATGCAATTTCTTATTCTATTAGTAATCAACCATATCTAACTTATTTGGAATTTAAATATTGTAGTAACGTATGAGTAAGGGAATATAGAGCGAGAAGTATTTTGTGTGTATAATCTATTGACAATGTTTGAATATGTTAAATTATCATTATTTTAATTGTAAACATGAATTCTAAAATGATAATTATTTTATAAGGGGTGAGATAAACAGATAAATCATATGTTAAATTATTATATACCATAAAATAAAAAGAAAAAATATATTAATATTCAAAAAGATTTTTATACTAATCAATATTCTTTCATTGTGAAATGGCGTCAAGCTTCGGGCGTTCTCTGTGATAAGAGGGTGCCACAAAAGCTAAAAGGTAAGTTCTATAGGACGGCGATTCGCCCGGCGATGCTATACGGTGCTGAA